TTCTTGTTTAATTTCTCTCCTTAAAAGTGGATTTGGAAACAAAATTTATGATGTCAGAGACAATTTTATATGGCAGTTAGGCAGCGATATTGCTTCATAAAAATTTTGGGTAACACGTGGGAATTGATAAAGGAAAAACGTCATTTTGTAATAACATATAATGCGATCAGTAAAAAATGACTTGATACGAAAAATTAGAGAGACCTTGAATAGTGGCAACTCAATACCCCAACAGCTATTTTGTAACCACCAAAAATTTCTGCAGCTTTAGGAAACCTTTGTGGAAACAGGAGATACATTAGTAGCCTGTTTATAATAATAATAAGCATTTGGAAAAATGTAAGCTCCTTGTTTGTCTTGTCCCATCGCGTTTCTTGCTCCTCAGCATGGCGTATTTGTACCACGTGACTAAAGCACTACAAAGCGCCCATTTCGTTCGGTAGTCTAGCCCGCGCCATAGACGAAACTAAACTCTGGTTAAGTCTGTCTACGAAAAAGCGCCGAAATCCTTGTTCTGGGCCCCACTTGTGTACCAGGATTTGAGTATGCGCCATGATTGGCCTTTTAAAAATGCCATTGTCCATTTGCCAATCAGGTTGAAAAGAAACTGGAAACGCACTTCTGGCAAAACGCTTATTCCGTTGTGGGCCCAGAACAAGGATCTCGGCGCTGTTTCGCAGACATTACCTGGAATTGCCTCTCAAAATATGAAAAAATCAAATCGGCAAGTTTAAATTTACGCAACTCAGCATAAAAGCGACTCTAGCATAGGAGGATTTGAAGATTTTAGTCCAGCATAGGGTAGAAAACTTCAGCTGCACTAGCTTTAGTATATAGGCTAAGGGTTACAGGGTCCCAGCGGCACATCCCCGCCCAAAAAATCCTGAAAAAGTACCACCCCACGAGGGGGGTTAGATTACATATGCGACTTAGGCTATTGGTAGTCCAGTTTCACATTAGTGGTTACTTATGAAGAAAGTCTTTCTCAAAGGTGGTCCATTACATTTACCGAGGTGTCCAAATGACTGAATTACTCTCAAGTTTAACAAAGCCCTGTTTTCTTTGGTTTCACAGCAATGTCTTCTGTCCATGGGAGTAACAGACGCCAGTTTCGTGGTGAAAGACAAAGACGCCAGCGATGTGGGAAAATTTTTCAACCGTATTTTGGGTCTTAGTGTGGAAAGACAAAATTTGGTAAGTACAAAGATCCTTCCTGTTTGGTGGCAATGAAACGTACGTTTGAGGGGAAGTTCTGGGACTACCCTTGTTTCCTAACTTTTTCTGCTATTTGAACCGCTGTCGTGAATTTTATCTGTCGATTTCTCAGTCTTCTTTTATCAGTCGATTTCCCACTCTTCCTTTATCGATCGATTTCTATATCAGTCTTCTTTTATCGTTCGATTTCCCACTCTTCTTTTATCGATCGATTTCTCAGTCTTCTTTTATCGTTCGATTTCCCACTCTTCTTTTATCGATCGATTTCTCAGTCTTCTTTTATCGATCGATTTCTCAGTCTTCTTGTATCGATCGATTTCTCAGTCTTCTTTTATCGATCGATTTCTCAGTCTTCTTTTATTGATCGATTTCTCAGTCTTCTTGTATCGATCGATTTCTCAGTCTTCTTGTATCGATCGATTTCCCACTCTTCTTTTATCGATCGATTTCTCAGTCTTCTTGTATCGATCGATTTCTCAGTCTTCTTGTATCGATCGATTTCTCAGTCTTCTTGTATCGATCGATTTCCCACTCTTCTTGTATCGTTCGATTTCTCAGTCTTCTTGTATCTTTGTCAGAACTAGCTGGCCAAACTGGTCATAATGAAAATGAAATGTTTACCAAAAACCCATCACTGCCGCGCATACATTTTAGAGATAAACAGATCTGTCCGGATAGTCCTAATTAAAAGTGGAATTCTCCTGGCGGTTGTACTGGTCTGGCCAGCCAGTTCTGACAAATTGTAAGTGCCCTAAGACTTTCTGTTATCGAGTTTCCTTTTTTGTTTCTGTTTTCTATTTTCGTGGTGTTACTCAATCAGTCGCGTTTTTAGCGCTCATGGAATTCGAATTTTGAATGAGTCTGATATCCAGATTTTACCGCTCCTTCAGGGTATAGGGAAGAGGAGATGGCTGACACCACAAACTCGGCTTCGGTATCTCAAATATATAACTTTCTCCTCTACGCCGGTAGCTCGCTAGTATAGAACAGACGCTTGTGCCTTCCCAAGCTCACTAACCCAGTTTACACCCACTTTTCTGCTGCGCTACCTCTCACGTGACCACACCCTTTGTGCAAAGCACTTTGCGATTTTTGCTCATAAGAAATGTTTCATTGTCCCCTGTTTTATTTGCAGTTTTTCTCGTACTTTTGTGAGTGCCTAAATGCTGCAATTGAAACTGCAAAGCGCGAAGGAAGGTAAGTATTGTTTTTGTTACTGACCAGTTAATTTCTAAGAAACTAAGTTCTTCACCCCGAAGCGTCGATCTCTCATATTAAGCTTAGGGTCAATAACGCTTGGTTCTTGCACGATAATATTTGTGTCGCATGCATCCTCGAAAAAACATTGGTCTCGCATTCATACCCTGGACACAAATGAATAATATTGCGTGATAATTCTTAGGTATAGTGAAGGCGTGACTGACGTATCTGGATCTTCAATCACGATGGTCGGCGCTGCCCGGCCTGTTTTTAGCGACTTTCAAAGAGGCCTCATGGAAACAAAGTAAGTAGTCTTAATGAAGATATGACCCTTCCCAGTCGTGAACGCAATTTAAGCAATTGCAAATTCAGCCCGAAGTTACCATTAAGTCAATTCTTAAGGTCATTCTTCTGTAGTAGAACCTGCAGTGAGATTTTTGTCAAACTTTGCCGATTGGATGTTATTTGAAATAAAATCGCGGGGTCCCCAATCCCCATACTCGTTTTGGAGCGGGAGCAACTTGTAAGTGCGCAGTGATTCCTTGAGATACCAAGGGAGCTTCCGCATCAACGACGGCGATGGCAGCGAAAACGTCACTTTTAAAATGAATTATAACATAACAAAAGTAAATCCCGCGCTCTGATTGGTCAGTTAGCCACTACCATTTGCCCGTGGGTGCACGCCAAGAAACTGAGCTAGTGCGGTAAAATTTAGGCAAATTCAACAAATCTCCTCTTCTGACCGTAAAATACACCGATAAAATGCACAGATGAAAGGTGGAAGTTGAAGAAAACACTAAGCTGTCGTTTTGAAGGAAAAAAGACAAAAGATCAAGCGACAAATTTGCTCTGGATGATTTAGTCACTGTTTTCCTCGCGGCTAGAATCGGCTGTTCAAAGGAAAATGGAGCCAGCGAAGATTGAAGGTACATTTTGTATGTTTTTTATAGAAGAGAAAGTCTGTTTGAAATGTAAATTCATCAATTAGCATTGTTTTATTGACTTTTTGGTCAAGCTGATGCTAAATCTAAGCAAATATTTCAGGAAACACGCTCAAATTCGAGACAGCTTTGTTGTGAAGTTTTCATCGCATCGATTAAAAATATTAGTTGAGTTTAAACGAGCACATTACGCTGGAATAAGCGAATTTCATTTGAGTACAGAAACATTTGGGTTTTCAAATAAATTTTTCAAAAAATGACTTGTGTGTGTATTATTTTGTTCCTCAGTGTTCATTCATAACAGTCGTTCAGAGATCGGTCGAAAAACAACAGCTTCAGCGCCGGCTGTGTGTCAGCGAATTTCAGTTTTAACTTTGACTTTCGTAGCTGGATTTCCCCAGGCAGATTTCGATACAAAGCTAGTTAATTTCTTTTTAAAATTAGTGTTACCTGTTATTCTAAAGGAATTACCCTCAAATTTTCTCATTTCTACTTTACGTATATTTCAAAAATTGTCACATAAAATAAGCTTGATAATTATTTCATTTATTTAGTTTTAGCTTCTTTTTTAGAGTCTTTTTAGTTGGTGTTTATAGTTGCAGCTATAGTTTTCCCTCAAAGTTTTCACCCTAATATTAAGAGCAAGTAGACAGATGCATTCAGAATAACAACGAAAAACGTTTTGCAATTTACCTGAAGACAGAGAACGGTTGATTCAGCGAAAGAAAAACTCAAAGGCAAGTTTTTGAAAAACATAGAACATGATTTGTTTACGCGCGGGCAGGTGGCAGCATCCTTGAACTCGTACCGATGCAATTGGAAAATAATGTTTTTCTCTTTTGATTATGTTATGAAAGAAATGGTAAACGTTGCAGCTGTGCAACCATGGAGTTATGGATGCACTTGGGAGGTTTGCTAAGCACTCAAGAAGCTAGAGTCGCACTCGGCTATCGCCTCGTGCGACTCTTACGCTTCTTTCGTGCTTAGGAACCTCCCGCGTGCATCCATAACTCCATGGTTGCACGCTGCACGTTTACCATTTCTTAATTTGAGTGGTTTTTTTTTGGCGTGCTTATTCCAGTTCAATGACAATGTCAAACTGTAGCGGCTGCGGGTGAATTTCTTGGGGACCGCACTCAAGTTTAGATAGAGAAGGAAAAAAATTCTTCCTCGCTTGTTTACGTCCTCCATAAACGTGAAATTAGGCATTTTCACATCGTGTCAAGGCAAAAGCCGCCTTGTTTTAAGTGCGTGCGTCCTGTTATGATCTGTTGGCGCGGGCTTATCAAGCGTGAAGTAATGCGCAATGCATACGAAGGAATAACCTGAAATCCCTTCTCAGTTGTTTTCATTTCTTTTTTCAGACACATGACTGTAAACTTTGATCGCGGAATAGGCTGGGATTCGGCAGTGAAGCAGTTACAAGACAATGGAAAAAACAAGTTTGTCGGGTTTTATTGTTCCAAAAGGGAACAGAAAGGGAGACGGCTTTACCTTCTAGCGATACAAAAGGAGTCTTCCACCCATCTTTTTAACATTACAAGGTAAATGTAAGGGCGAAAAACTGCTTTTCACCGATGTGAACGCCCTAAAAGTTCAAATTTTAGGTTGGTTGGTGGGTTTAAATACCGTAAATCCTCTATACAACCCTGCCCTCTCTCTTAAATAAGCACCTTCCCCTCTAACGTTTCATCTGGACTAATCCGGTATGCTTCATTAACCAGATTCAGAGACTTGAAGTTGTGATTTCTTCCTGTAAACGATAAAGTACATGCGATTAAGCCTCCCAGGATCTAAGCTCCCGGCGCGTCCAAACGAATTAAAATGAATTCGATTTATTATGACATTTTGAAGCTTGCTTAAAAACCAGTAAATGCTAAAGGTTTCTTGTTCAGCACTGCTATAGAATGTTTCGAAGCGCCTTTTCTATTTCGGTTATTAGCCCCTTCGTTTATTAGCTCTCTTAAAACCCCTTAAGAAAATGTAGAAACCCAGGGCTTATAAGCGACATATTACGGTGTGGAATTTCTACCCAAAGATAATTTCCGCTTTTACTTCGTTTTGTTTTTGTGTAGACCAAACACAGGACGGTCTCCTTTTGAAGAAGAAAAAACCGATCTTCTGCACAAGTACAATAGGATTTCACTGGAAGATGCAGGTAAGGGAGGCGGGCCTAGTCAGGCTATCTTTTGTATCTACCACCGGGAAGCCGTGTGAAATCAGAAGTGCTGTCCGCGTGTTTTACTGTGATTTGTTTGAAATCTAGTACACTGCACGGGTGCCAGCCCGTCCTAATTTGTAAAAGGTAGGCGAATATTCCTGGAGCTAAATTCTCAAAAAGTGTAGTTATCTTCAAAAAGATAAATAAAAATTCGTCGTCGTCTCGTCCTCCATAAAACGTCGCTTTACGGGGTTTCACGTCGTAGTCGTGCAGTGGACGTTAAAGAAATGTACTAAAAAGTGTGGTGTACGTGCAGAGCCGTATTGTTTTGTTCATAAAATGAATTTTTTGACGTACTCGCTGCCGTCGTCGTTGTGGTTGCAGAGCTTTTAAAATAAAAGCCATTAAATAAAAACATTTCTTTTGTCGTAACTTCATGTTTTGCTAATCGTTTAACAGGTTACACGAAAAGTAAAACTCGTAAAATGTCAACTACTTTGATTGGTCAGGAACTAAATACTGCGGTATACTTTTGATTCATTAGAAGCTGGATGGAAAGCACAGTACGAAAGGACCAGAGATCACTTTATTCACGGATTAGGCTGCAAGACTGGACCTTCTTGTAAAAGTAAGTGAAAACTTTATTACAGTGGTGTATTCCTTAGAAGTCTCCTTAAGAGACCACGAGGAAGTGACTCGACAAAATGATTTAATCCTTCTTTAAGAGAATAACTGCGACAATTTGTTAATGAATGAACGAATAAACTTTACGAACGTGTCAATACAATATCTGGTAGAGAGGAATCCCTCATCTAATAGGGGACACCTAAAGCGCGATACAATGGTGACATTTAGTTGCAATAAAACGAATTTTTTAAGTTTACAGTGAGCACGATACAATGAAAAGTTGTCAACTTGTTGGTGGCTAGCTTTAAAAAAATACGTAACGTTGATGGCTAATGCAGTCCATGATTAAGATATGGTCATGCTATCTTTCTTTATCCCATCCCATCCTATCCTATCCCATCGCATTCCATTTCAGTCCTATCCTGACCTGTTCATTAGAAAGAAAAGACAGCATAAATTGCATCCCAATATCAATACCTTGTATGGTTACTTGGTATTGGCCATTTTGAGGTTGCGCGTCAGGTTCAGGTTGTTGGTATGTCAAGAGCACTTTGATCCCTTTTGGGACGCTATGGCTTCACTCATTGGCTGTTACGAGGTTGCGCAAGAAACTGGGTTAAAATTTCTCTCGCAAAACAGTCCCATAGTGCAATTGGACTGGCCACTCTGTGGTCAAGAGTGATATTTCACATATATTTACATGAAGTCAAACGGCAACCATAAAATGGCTAATCATTGGATCGATCACCGTTTCTGGAAAAACTCCCAACCTCCGAACCCCTAACCCATGTTTCTTTCTTAAAGCCACCCGTTAGGGAAAAACGAGAGTTAAGGTGGGTTGGGAAGGACCAAGAAACTGTAAATAATTCGACGAGATCCCGTTTTTGTTTGTTTGTCAGCCGGCTGTCGCATTACTCAGATCCATTTATTGTGTGGTGGAATTATTCCTCTGTTGTCTGCGTTGGAGATGGCCATGGCTAAAAATGCTGATAAAATTGGTCTCAGGTAAGTAACTCTTAACCCCTTCGCTTCCAAAAGAACTGATTATCAAAAGCATGAATCGCTATAAAAGCCGAAGCACTGCTAAAAAGGTTATATGTGAATGGTCGCACAATGTATTCACAGTATGTTTTAGCGGTTGATATTTTGTCCGTCTGGCGACTTCGATTCCCGAGGCGTGAGTTTTGGTCGTGTCGTTGTGTTTGGTTCTTGTCGCCGAGCAGTTTTTCTTTTTCCTTTTTGTTGCAGCAAGGAAAGCCGATCTCTGAGAGTAGTCCGCGTTGAGCTAGATAACGGTCAGCGGCTGGTAGGTCTGCGTTACCCAGAGCAACTCATACCGGAAGCTACATTGTTTCTGAAGGAGCAAAAGTTGCTCGACGCCGTTATCGTAAGTAAATATTGATTTGTATAAAGAAAAGTGTAAAAAATTCTCATCACACATTTTTGGCCAAGCACTCGTGTTAAAGAACAGTTCCCGACCGGTCCTTAATTTTAGCAGCGTTGAACGATTGATAACCACACTCCTCTTACCCAAGAGTGACCAACATTAATTTTCTCCTGACAATAATATTTAACGATTATTCCTCTCGCCTTCATGGCCTCTGAGTCAATAGCCCATGAGGCCGAAGGCCAAATGGGCTATCGACTTAGAGGCCATGAGGGCGAGAGGAATAATTTTTTTAGTAAAATCCAACTAGCTGGTCAAAAATATCGAGACAAAACAGGTTTAGCTGGTTAAAGCTAGACTTTAATCCTTTTTCTGCCGCCAAAAAGCCCGCGCTTTCTCGCTACTAGTGGGCTATAACATATAGCCTAGTAGTAGCTCAACCAATCAGAACGCAGCATTGATAATAGACCACTAGTTGGATTTTACTAAATAGATTTAGCCAGGGCTGAAAGCGAAGCTCTGGTTAATAATACTTATAAACAAGAAAAGTTAAAACGTGTAATACTAAACGGGGACGGCAATGAAAATGGCATCAAGTTTAATAGATCTAACTAGCAAAAAAACAAATTGCACGTGCAGCACACTTTTTTTTTAATTAGCCAAAAAAAAAACATTTGCACGTGCAGCACGCTTTTTGTCCTTCTTTGCCGTTGTTTTGCGCAACTACAACGCTGTATTGTTGGACTAAATCGTCAAACTTCCTAGCTACACATTATTTTTATGGGGAATTTTCGTATCTGCTTACCCAATATTTTGTCTCCTGTTTTCATGTTCGCTTTTATTTTTCACTGCCCCTCATTTTCACCTTGCTGGGCGTTCCTTGCTGGCCGCTAGCATTTCTCATTGTCCCACCGCCGCTTTGAATTTTTATGTTTTTCTTCCTACAAAATTCGGCTGTAGCTCTTTCTCTGTTATCCACGTGAATGTAAACATCAAAAATAACATCGAAAAATACATGACTTTGTACTTCTCACTTAGGGCAAAATGTTGGCTTAGGGGAGGGGTAGGTGGGCAGTTTCCCAGAAGCGTGTAATGATCCATAATATCAATACGTAACCAAGAGAGAAGGTTATAAGAATTAATAAAATGTAACCAAAAGTTGATCTTTTACCAAATTCTCTGTTCTAATTTTGTTAAAACATACGTGAAGAAAAAGTCCGGAGATTTTATTTGTCTGTGTATACTGGGTTTTCATAGTACACAACAGAGAATAAGTTTTATTTTAACATCGCAGCATGATCTTGTTACTTATCTGATATTTATTTCAAATTATTAATAACCTGCGAGTTCAGCCTTCTCTCATTGCCCCCGTTTCTGGGGACGTTAGCGAGAGTATGGTTAAAATTTTTATCGTGCTTTGCTACTGCTTCTAGGCTTCAACTTTGAACCTTGTTAGATATTGTTTTGACTTAAACGATTATCCTTTTTTTGTTGTTGTTTTTTTCCTTTATTTTCTAGGACAAACAAAATGGTGTTTTGAGTTCAACAGAACCTTCTCTTAGACAGCCATCAAAAGCCAGCCGAGCGTTTGAGGAAGCGGAAACGCCCATCAACCAAAAGACGTTAACTAAGGCTACTACTCCTCCTGTAACTATAAAGAATTTCTTTAAACCGAAGACTGTTGAACGATCACCTGAGAGTAATAAAAGTGCATCAGAACATCAGGATGTTAAGGAAAAGAGCGGGGAAAATGACTGCAATGAGATCGAAAATCAAGAAATCGAGAGCAACGCCAAAAACAGCACGGATGACAAACAAGCAACGACCAAAGTAAGTAAGAAGGAACTCAAATCAATATACTTTAAATCGAAGGGAAGAGAAAAGGAAGAGCTCCCGGAAAATAAAGGACCTTTCAAAGGTGCTGCTAAGTGTAATGGTCTTGTGCGCCACCTTTCGGAACCCCTATCGAAAGAGAACCTTCAAGGAAAGAACTCTTTGAAACGAACTAGTTCTGAAGCGCCGTCAAGGGCGATTAAGCGACAGAAGCAATCGAGCATTTTGTCTTCGTTTGGGAAAAGGACTGACAAAGATTCTAAGGACCAAATGGAGAAGGAAATTCTCTGCCCTGTTTGTGGGGAGAAATTTGCGAGCGGATTGAAAAATTCTGATATCAACAAACACATCGACAATTGTCTCAGTAAATGATAAAAATTATGAAATTTATATATTTTTAGCAAAAATGAATACTAGTTATTCTTGAATCACAATATGACGTAATTAGCAATAGTATTGTTACATGTAACTGATATAAGTTTAGTTATGAAATTATAACACGTTCATGGTTCTGCAGTTTTTTTTATCGAAATATTTTCAAAGAAAAAAGCTTATGCTACATCCCTCTGATTCTGCACTAAAACCTGTGTCAATCCGTGGATTTACGCTCCCATGTACAGTCCAATTCCGCTTTGCGGACACTTGCTTAATACGGACACCATCATTATTACAGACGGTTTTCTTTGTCTCTGGGGAAAGAAAGCCCTTACATTTCCTCTATTATACTACTATATGAGAAATTTCTGCAATTTGATTGGCTTAGAGCAGTGGTATTTCAGCTTAATTTGAAATACCTACATGTGAAAATTACAAACCTTGTGTGGGTAGTAGTATAAACAAATAATAGCATGATTAGCACGTGATATTTGGCATAAATACCACTCATGATATTTCAAAATTGTCGCAAATTTCACTCGCCTAACGGCTCGTGAAATTCCGTATAACAATTTCGAAATATCACTCGTGGTATTTATGCCAAATATCACTACAAACCATGCTATTACCTATACAAATTTGTCTATAATTTTCTATTCCTTGAGGACGGCTAAAAATTTATAGATGACCGTTCCATTCACGTACAATTTTCGACGCTTATCTTATAAATTCCCCACGATTTTCTGAAATTTTATTTTTCACATTTTACTTTCCAAGTTAGACTGTTTTTCGAAGAAAAAAGGAACCTAAACTTTTCGGTTTCAAAAATTTGGTAGCGAGAGGAATCAGAAAATTTCTCTCTTTCGTAATACGTCAAATTTCAAGCTTTTGTAATTTCGAAAAGACTCAAGTTTCTCAAGGATGACCAAACAGATACAAATTTTACGCGCCGTTTAGAATACATTTCTAGATATCTAAAAAGTACTCTGGATAGCCTAAAAAGTGTTGTCAATGTATTTAGGAGGAAACCATCGTTGGGTACCCCGGTTAATGACTTATTTCTTTCTGTAAACGGCAAAACTAGCAAACAAAATGAAAAAAACCTGTACTAACTATGATTGATACCCCAATACCTTCTAAATCGAAAAAAGCTATTATTTAAGGATAGGACAAGAATTTTGTCAGCCTCAAATCGGCAGAAAAGTAAGAATTTTTACTTATTTATTTGCTAGAAGAAAAAAACATAATATACATACAGACATGCAATATATTATAAAAAATGTTATTTAAAGATTAAAGAGACGTAAATTGTAAGTAAAAGAATTAAAAGTATTTTTTTCTGGCGAAGAAGCTCAAACAGAAACCATGGGGCTTATTATATGAAGAATGTTCAGTCCGTTGGGTCGGAAAATAACATTCTAAAAGAAGAGTGTACACATCGATAATACAAGCGTCAATTTTGTTGTCGACAAACCACAACTCTTCTTTCCTAGTCTGTGTGACAATATTTGATAAGTAACGCTAATATCGTCGGCCCTTTCTCGACAATTAAAAATAAAAGACTTTTAGAGTTGACAAATGCAACTTCCCGCACATTGCGTTTTACTAAGTTGCAGCTTACTATTTGTAGGTAACTTGTAAGAAAATAGTAATCGAAATCTTTGAATCACAGAACTCTTTGACAGTTTTGTTAAAAATCCCACTGTCGGTAACCTAGGATCGTTGCCATTAGAGAGTTCATGATCTCAAAAGTTAATACACACTTCGAGTCCTTAGTAACTGTCAAGCGTGATCATTCGAACGATGGGTATTGAAAAACCAAATTATTTTTTTAAATGATTTTTTGTTTTGCAGTTTGAGCTAATGCGCTCACACGATTAAAAACGATAAAGTCAGGGACGAAGAATTATACCCATATTTTTCTATTCTTGACTTTTATCGTCAAAAATTGAAACTCTTCCTCGTTCCGTGGTTTCTATTGTCGGTCGCGTGATATGCGAGATCAGACAATAAATCTGAGACACGCGAACCATTAGACGAACTTGAATAAATTAGTCTCGCCTAAATAGAAGATGGCGCTCACGCTTAGTTCGCTGGTAACCAATGTGAAACCACTCAGGTTCCATAAGAAACACAACTGTCGCCTTGCTGGTGTTTGGCCTGAATGCCGTCGTAGAGAGTGAGGATTTCTTCCCGTGTCCTCCAGACAACTTTGTCTTCTACGCCAGCTGTTTCTTCATCATCCCTGCTTTGTTTTTGTTTATCGCGACGATTTTTCTTGACAACGGATTTTGGGACCACGTTCGTGGATGTTGTTATTACGAAGGTCGGTACAAGCAAGAAGCAAAACGGTACTGCTGTTGTTTGTTTCCAAGATGGCCTTCCAGCGAAGCTCTTGTGGAAATCGTATTCCAAAGTTCTCTGTCTGGGTTCATGTGGATTTTCTAGGCGCTCTTGCAGCGTGACTATTATATCTGCGCCGCTCTCGGAGGAACGAAAGCAGCTAAATTAATCACTGCCTCAGCCGCGCAAAAGTTACAAATCGAAGCAGATTACGCGAACGCGGGAAAAAAATTACAGACGGCAGCGTTACTCTTGCTAGCTGGAGCGTTACCTACAGCTTTCGTTGTTGTTTCAGTTCAGCAATGCTGTTATCAGCGTGAGTTCGGCACTTCACCGAGTCCGTACCAGTATAAGAAGCTCGAGTCAGAAGCTGCTGTGGAGGCCTTTAAACTGAACGTGGAAAAACTCGCAAAAGGACAAGGCAAGAGGCGTGCAGATATGTACTTTGCAACCATGAACAAGAAAAAACCGTCTGACATCCTTAAGAGTGCCTAGGAAAATCTCGTCGCTGTGAACAAATTTGACGAAGCGTTCCATCTTTGGAAGATTATCAGGAGCCCCAAGCACACGCGGTTACGGGCATCTCCAGGGAAGATACATTCTCCAAGACAGAATTGCTGCGCAGAGCCAACATGCCATGCATTAAGGCACTCATCGTCAAACCAAAGCTGCGGGGGGTTGGACATGTGGTTCGAACGGACGACGCGCGCCTCCCGACGATGGTCTTCTTCTCTGACCTGGCTACCGATGCGCGTAGCATTAGACACCCACTGAAGAGGTTCAAACATGGCCTGAAACAAAAAAACTGAATTGAATCCCATTCTTGGATGAGAAACCCTCACCGCAAACCCCAGCGCCCGGAGAATGGCCGTCCACAAGGGCGTTCAAGTCTTTTTAAAAAGCGGCTGTACAACCTCGACCAGGCCTTTGGAAGGCCGGGTTCTGGCTGCGCGAAGGCTGCGTCTTAGCGATTGAGTCGATCAAAACGGTTTCTTCGAGTTGTTTAGGGTAGGCCATTATAACTGATTTTTTTTGTAAATTTACTAAGGATGGGTCGTGGAAAGTAACGGACAAAGAACTACTCAGCAGCCAAGCGTCAACAGGAAAAGGTCAAGCGAAGCCTTTCCCCGCCATGCCGCCTGTAATCGGAAAAAAAGACGAGGATCTCAGCAGTGACGAAAAATACGAGGAGGAGAGCTTTCGAACCAAACAACTCTTTTTATTTGCTTGGCAAATAGCTAAAGGAATGGTAATTACTATATGATTATTTTCTGAGCGACGTTGCTTCGATTCAGTTTCTGTTTTCATCATTCAAAGATCGGTTTCAGACTATTTCACAAGCAAGAAATAAAGGACAAATGGGTTAATTTTCTAGATGAAGAATGATTTGATTTTTTTCATTAGAATGTCAAATTAGTTTTAGTTGATCGAACCAAATTTGGCATGTTTCGTATAATCTTGAATCAGCCGTTCAGATCAGTTCAGTTCAGTATTTTTCCTTTAATTTTTTGCCCGTAATTTTCTCGCCTTCACCCATGCCTGTTCAGGCAGTAATAGCCCGTAGCTGAAGTATTATGGTACTTATTTTCATTTTTTCTCCTTCCTTTTTAAAATTAGAATCATCTCGCTGAAAACAGTCTTGTTCACAGAGACCTTGCTTCCCGTAATGTTCTTGTTGGCCATGACAACCAAATCAAAGTGTCAGACTTTGGGTTGATGAGACAAATCTATGAAGATGTGAGCAGCTCAGCGAAGTCCAAAAAACTTCCTGTGAAATGGATGGCCCCAGAATCACTCTATCAAGGCCTTTACACTACCAAAAGTGATGTGTACGTATAAAAGATTCCCACTCTTTTAAACATATTTCGATACATTGCTGCTCAGAAAACCTCAGCTACCCTAAAAATCGTGATCAGTGAGTTTAATTCAAACCGATCTAGAATTCCAGTGGTTAATATAGTGGGTAATTTCGTACTTGTCAGCGCAATTTTGACTCAGGACTATATATAGTTTTCACATTCAATAGCGAGAGCGGGGTCGGTTGAATTCTTAAATCAGAGTGTATGTAAAGATCACTTAGAAGCTTTTCTTTGCCAGGAAAAGTTTACGAATATGCGACAGACGCGTCACGTAAACTGGTATTGATTTCCCTACTCTATTAACCTTGTTAGGCCATTTACTAAGGGCTTCGAGCACCTGAGGCCTGGGGCCCGTTTCTCGAAAGTCCCGGTAACTTTTCGGGCCCGAAATCAAATTTTCAAATCGAAAAGAAGAAAAGCGCGGGTTCTGGCTAGCAAACTACTCCATTGTGTTTCATTAACTGATAGTTTTATCATGCTAGATGAAAAACTATTGAAACCACTACCTTGCATGTAAACAACAACAGCTTTACGGGCCCGTTGATTATCGGGACTTTCGAGAAACGGGCCCCTGGAGTCATAGGGTTCAGTCACGCGCGAAGGCACGAAAAAGTGGAGGCACGCCCTTTTCCCCTTAAGTTCATCAAGTAAAAAGAAGAGAAGAAAAATTTATAGTGTTTATGCAGTGGATATATTTATGGCCTTTGTGCTTTTCTCTATAGTTGGTCTTTCGGTGTTGTTCTTTGGGAGATGGCTACATTGGGTGAGTAGACCGTCACTCACTGATTATGTTACCTTCCAAGGGGAGTGACATCCCAACAACTCTCCTCACTATTACCGCGGGGGATATGACTTGAAGTGCAACTGATATGAGAGGACGACACTGGGACTCTTAATAGGCTGATACCTGATGAGTTTTATATGTGCCAAGCCAGCAGGCTTTTTTGTTTTGAACGAAGCTCTTGTCTGAAATCATAAGTGATAATCGGCATCAAATATGCACGTACTAGTTGTTTCCCAGAAAGAGGAGCCTTATTATTAAGCACCCTGCTTTCTTTCTTTCTTTCGTTCTTTCGTACACTTAAATACAACTCTGACCCCTATTCAATCACTATTCTTTTGCAAAACTGTATTATTGAGTGCGGAGGAATGAAGAGTCGTCGGCGTTGACATTTCCAGTAGAAAACTGTCCAGGGGAGTGAGCCCTGTTTTCAAAATAACAACATGTATATTTTTTCTTTCGCACAAAGTGATCAGGAGGCGTACCATACCCCGCGCTGGCCAACTCAGAGTTGTATCGACTGCTTGACACTGGTTATCGCATGGAAAGGCCTGACATGTGCTCCGATAGATAGATTCGATTTTTCCGTGCGTCTTTTTAGCTATAAATAGCGATAAACGTTGTAGAAGACAACTCGGTCGGCGATTTTGACGTTTTTTTCGATCAAATTGATTACTGAACAGACGGACGGCAAAATCTTAGCTTAAATATTTGTTTCATACAGCAATATGATAGTGTTAAGACTTTAACAGAGATCGACTGCAAGGATTTTTTTCTCCATGTTCGATATTTCCTTATGGTAATTGATTAAAACTAGGTATTTTTCTCTTACCTGGTAACAGCTTTATTAGCAAAATTTGGCGATGTTGGCTAAGTCTTTCAACTTGGAAAACTTTAAACAACATTTCCAGCAAACCATTCCAAAACCATCCGCCACACGAGGGTCCCAACGCTGTCGTATTTTCTCTCGCGTGCCGCTCGCGTGTGTACTTCTCACGAGATCGCCCTAAGTGGAGAGCTTTCTCGCAAGCTAGGCAAGAAACCGACAAGCCTAATGATCCGGCGTGAGTGGCTGCCAGCTGGTTTAAAGGAAAAACTATTCTACTAAATCGGGGTGTCTTACGTCAAATAGAAACGGTTTCTATGTATGTAATAATGGATTGGAACTCTGACTAACTTAAACTGTTGCATTCTTTTTATTCATAACAGATATGAGCTGATGACTGACTGTTGGAAGGAGGAACTTCGCTCTCGTCCCAGTTTCTTTCAGCTGATCGAAAGACTGGAGGTGATAATGCAGAGGGATGCACCATACTTGGATCTAAACAAACATAATGAAGGTCATCCGTATTACAACGTTCCCCCTGAAGCTAGTGGTGATTAATATGAAGAAGGAGCTTCCCCAATAATCAGACAATTTCAGACCAAACGATTATAAACAGTTAACTAGTAATGATCATATCGAGAAAGCAATCTTAAAAAAATTTGAAGCGGTGAAGTAAAAGTAGAAGCATAACAAAAAACCGTAGTAGCAGTCAGTAGCAGTAGTCAGCGAGATCATAAGCGCGCACAAAGTTTTGGCAGAGGAGCTGCAAAGCCGCTCGGCTTGGGGAAGGGAAGGAGAGGTTTTGAAATTCCCTTGCAGCTTCACAGCCAAAACTCTCACGCGGGAGGAAAAAAAAAACAAAAAACAAAAACAGGCCAGCTGATCTGACAGGCAGACCAAGCGTACTATGGTTGTTGCATGTTGTACAATAGGGAACTTAAATACCACGACGAAGTTCACGACGACAGCGTCTGTTGACTGGGAAAAGACTGGAACGAGAACGTCAGTTTCGGCGGCAAAAAGGAAACTGAAGATGCAGTCGGTCGGTAGGTCGATGACGACGACACTGAATGTAAACACAAACGTAAAACTGTGATGTTCCTTCGTAACAAAGTTTTTTGGAATGGCGTCTTTTAAAACAACGTCTAATTCCTTTGACGATGAAGAATTTTTTATGTTGTCTGACCTTTTCGAGTGGAAAAACGCCTTCCTTCTGCACAAAGATTATTCAACTTTCAACCTGAATGAGATGACCGAGTGCGAGTGTCTGTCAGAGTTTAGATTTGGAAAAAGAGACATTCTGATACATGTCATAGCTGTTTTCCATATAAAGTTTATTTCCCCTATATTATGATTTGCCTTACCTAAATAGGTACAAGTAAATTTCTTACTTGCGAGTTCGCTCGCTCGGCTTTCACAGCTGTTGTCATTCTTCGAAGTCAAAACAATTCATTATAGTACAGTTTTAGTCGAATTTTCAATCAACATCGCTTGTTAGGAGAAAAAAGGAACGATACCTGGATTTGCGAGGATAAGAAAAAACAAAGGACATCAAAAATCGCTTAAAACAGTGGATTTATACCTGCCGAAGCTTGTGAATTGCAGGACGACGTGATTGTACTTTTTTTGGCGTCGACGACGACACCACGACGACGAAATTTACTGGTCGCGCTTGCGCAGTACACTGAAACTCACGTCCGGTCGTCGTCGCGGTTCTTAAGTTCCCTTTTGGTAAATAGAGGTTCGTTAAATCGAGGTTCCAATGTAGTTCAGTTCATACGGGGAAAAAAAGCGTCCTTTCCAATTCCTGTCCTTCAGGCCCCGGTTGTTCAAACGTTGGATAGCGCTATCCACCGGATAAATCGCTATCCAGCGGATAAGTGTTATGCTTTCCAACTGCGTTATCGAGTGGATCGAAATTTATCCAGTGGATAGCGCTATACACCTTTTGAATAGCCTGCGAGCCGCAGACGTATTTCCGGTCGTCGCCTCTCTCCCTACGAAAAAAGCGTCCGCTCCCCGCAGACTACCTTGTCAACAACTGGAGCGAGATTGGTTTGTGGTCACGCACGCTCTCGTCACTTATCGATCCGGTCCATAAGGTAGTAGCTAACCTGACCTAGTATTTAGCACACCGTCACAAAAACGAACTTCCTTACCGGCTAAAACCTGCGTCAGTTCTAGCCGAAAGAGAGCTGAGAAGCCGTGTGGCGAGGGGGGAGGGGGAGGTGGGGAGATTTTGAGCTGTAGGAATTTTTTTTCGTTATCAAATTCCTTTTATGAATTTTTTTTAGGCCATAGCATAATTTTTTTTTAGGGTTAATTGGCGTGCATGATATTTTTTTTCATTTAATTTTCCCTTGCGCGAATATTTTTTTGTACTTCGCCCCCCCCCCCCATTAGTTTATTTAATGGACCGTCCCTTTAGGCCTCTGTTTCCCGTAGAGGCCCCTGCTGGTATTTCAAGAATAAAATAAACAGGGTACGGGTGTGATTTAGGAGGAGAAAATAGGCGGGAAATTGTCCCACGCGCGCTTTCCCCTCCTCAATAATAAAATTCTTGCGTTTAAACCGGCCGTAGGGCACAGAGTGCCTATGAACTAAAGATAAGGGAGCTCTCAATCTCGTCGCCAGGGCTTTTCCCTCAAGCCCTGGGGACGAGGTTGGGGAGCTCTTTGAATGAACTTTTCACGTGATCATGACTTTTTTTCTTAGCGTTGTAGATTCGAATACAAGTGATAAAATTCGAACAATAAGGGCCCGAATCACATGTAATAATGCAAGAAATCTCGACCTTCGTTACCTTAAAAGGCTACTAGTACAGATTGAAAAACAAGGAGACTTCATATCTTTAAGATTTTTGCATTTATTTGGCATCAGATAATACACTAAAAGTTCTAGTATATTCCAACCAAATGTCCTCTTGGTGGGGGTGTTCCGCCCGGTTCTCCAAATCCTGGCCCTATTTCAGACCAAAAAATGTTATTTTTCACACCCGTTTTCAGACCTGTCCTTCAAGAAATTATGTCATCATTACTTAGATTACAACAGCAACAATGCAATCCATTAGAATTCGCATATTTCTTTTTCTTTCTTACTCATTTGGAACTGAAACAAATACGTTCGTACACTCCCGTAGTGCCCTGGTAAACCATACCCGATTCCAGAGCAAAGTCTACACCCTTTTTCAGACCAAAACCAAGCAAAACCCTCTAGGAGGGCACATAGATTCGTAGGGGAGTACTTCCCCGGGCCCAGATAATACAAACTATTTATTGGCATGTTCACTTGATATCTGCCATGTTTGTCCCGGAGAATCGATCTTTAGCGGACTATAAGAACCTGTTTGGCGATCCAGCAAACTTTAATATTCAGAGTAACTAAACTGAGACAAACGTCGAACTTATCGCCCAGTTTGGTTCGTCTCATGAAAAGTTGGACCTTTGGCCTTGGTTTTAGTCGATCCAAACTCATTCAAACAAACTTGACTGCGACAGAAGACAAACTTATTATGAACTTAATCCGTTCAGCTTGGATCGGGGGGTACTCAACAAAGTTTTATACTGGGAGGTACCGCCCTAAGGTCCAACCCCTTGCCCTCTAAAATACTGTTTTTGACAGAAAAGGTAGCCCTTCCGTTATTCTAATTCTGATTCGTTTCGTGTTATCTGCAAAGGGGATGTTCCATCACGGCGGATGTGCAAATTGTACTGGTGCTTGTGTTAAGATATAATCAAGGTGCGAATGTCAAGTGAATAAAGATAGTAATAATAAAATGTTCCCGGGTTAACGTTTTTAAAGATGGCCCACGACAGCCGTTTTGAAAGCCTCCACTAACTGCTTTTCAATGACACAATTTGGTAAAGATTTCCAGTCTCTGATTGTACGTGCAATAAAACTTTGTTGCTATTTGTTTGTTTTGGCATTAACTTGAAAGAATTGCCTAGTGCCCTGTCGCCTTTTAAATCATATACAGGGTGGAAATCGGTATAGCTGATGACCAGAGACAACTTTAAACATCATTGTGAGTCGTGCAACTTTCCTTCTTTTCTCGAGTGTTGGCCATTTCAAATCACTCAGAATTTTCGTGACAGTTCCAGGAGTGATGCTATATTCTTTTAAACAAAACGTGCCGCTCGTCTCTGCACACTCTCAATGTCATTTATCTGCTTTTGAATATGCGGGTCCCATGCGAAACATCCATATTGAAGCTGTGGTCTAACTAAAGCAAGATAGGCTTCCTCTTTAACGTTTTCCGGGCACTTAGTTAGGTTTCTTCTTATAAAGCCAAGAAATCTGTTGGCTTTGTCTATAATTCCAGCAATATGAACATCCCAGTTTAGATCACTAGATAGCTCAACTCCGAGATACATCTTCCAAGTGAAGGGTTCTCCCTGGATAGTGTATTGGTATTTAACTAGAGTTTTTGAGCAGGAGGCTCTTAGGATGGTGCATTACTTTACATTAAACGAGAGCTGCCATGTGTCCGCTCAGTGTGCAAGTGTGTTTAGGTCTTGCTGTAGTGACTTTGCATCATTACAATCTTTGATTACACCGTAAAATGCCGCGTCGTCCGCGAAAAGGCCAATTTGTGCTTTTTGGTGTTCGCCGATATCGTGTATGTACAAAACGAACGTGAGTGGGCCTAACACAGTACCCCGGGGCACACCTGATCTCACGGGAATATTTGATCCATTGTTCGAGCCAGGTCTTGAGATTTCAACGAATTCCGTAGAAATCTAATTTATTTAACAATCGGCGATGGGGCACCGTGTCGAATGCCTTTGAAAAATCGAGTAACAACAAATCACTTTATTGGCCAAGGTCAAGGTTACCTGCTACTGATTCAATAACTGCGATCAGTTGCATTTCATGAGAGTGCCGTTGTCTGAAGCCGTGTTGATAATGTACTAGAATAGAAGTTGAATCAAGGTGATTCATGATGTGCCGGTATATGATATGTTCCATTATCTTACAAGACACAGATGTTAGAGAAATCGGTCTGTAATTACTTGGCTCGCCCGATTTCTTTTTTTTTTTGACAACTGGGGTGTCATTTGCAGTGACCCAGTCACTTGACCTGTCTGGTATTGATAGAGTAAAAATATACTGGAGAAATGGGGCAATGACAGGCGCAGCTTCTTTCAGAACCCAGCAAGAGAGATATTGTCAGCACCACGGGCCTTTTTGGCGTTAATGTTCCTTAACAAGCGTGTTATGCCTGAAACTTCAAACTTCAGAGAAGGGAATGTCTACGATCACAATAGGGCCCTTACTTGGGATGTTAAATTAGTAGATTGAGTCATCTGTGAAATTTGAAGCAAATTGATCACTCAACACTTAAGCTTTAATATATCCGTATATTTTCCTTTCAAAAAAGGATCCCTTTCTCATACCTAATTTAGAACGTTGCATCCCTTTTAACTGTTAAAAATGCACTGTCTTTAAAATATAAATAAATCACAAAACCAGAAAATGTTCTCGACACAGTCATAAATTCTTTTAGCAACTTTAGGTCTTTTTACAGACAGATTTCGCTGCCCTTTCCTATGCTTCAA